TTCCGGGGGGCCAGGGGGGCGGGAGGAGCGGGGCGCTGACCCGAGAGCCCCGTCTGCACCGCCTGTGCCACCGGCCTGGCGCTGTCTCCCCTGCAGGGCTCCGGGACCGGACGCTCTTGCCTTTTGGAGTCTGCAGGTGGCTGAGCCTCCTTTCTGTCTTGTAACCGAGCAGATGCCTGTGAAGGGCTGTCAGGGACTCGAAAGCGGCTTTGTGTGCCTCTGCCAAAAAATAAATACAGACGCCTCATGGTTGTGACACCGGTTAGCGGTGTAGCGGATGTAAGGTCTGGGCGTATTGACGGTGGTCTTGGAAATTATGAGTTTTTGAGGTGACTTAAACACTTGTTGCAGTAATGTTACAGAATACGTAGTAAAATGTTGCTTCTTTTGGTGAGAACTGGGAAGCACTTAAATACCAAAATAATAATGCCTTTTAAGACATGTTTTTTGCAACATGGGTTGCAAGAGTTTAAGAGTAGCTCCAAGAAGAGCTTAAAAACAGTATCTCAGTGCTTGCTTTAAAAAGTGTTTAAACCAATGGGATTAACAAAAACTTATAGTGGCTGCATCTACACGAGACGCTGACTGCATAGTAGCCTGTGACTACTGCGCAGTAGCATCATGGAAAAGCCATTTAGTGGCACTACTGCACAGTAACTTCATTTAATACTTGTTTGTACAAGTACTTAACTACACAGTCAGTGTCTTGTGTAGACGTGGCCAGAGAAGAGTATTTTGGTTCAAGAAGTTATCTCAGTGCGCATATTAAAATATACATCTCCATAACAGCTGTGATCTTAATGGAAATGCTTCTTTAAGCTTTTATTGTCAATGTACAATTCCAAGTAATATAATTCCAAATAATATTTTTCTTCTATCAGCTTGTATATGTTTCTCTGTAATAGGGGTGTCACAGATATGGCTCATGGAGCTCCATCACCCAGTGCTGCTCCTTGGTGCGAGGTGCTCTACCCGGCATATGGTGGCCCGGCTTCGTGTTTAGGGCCTGGGATGCATCATCCACTCTAGGACCCATGTTGCACATGGTACCCACCCTAGCCAGTCCTGGACTACTCCACCTGCCACACTTCCCCTCAGACCAGCAGTATGGGCACCATGTGCATTGTAGATTGTGGACCGGCTAGAGCAGCGTAACGTTTGTGTCCCAGGCTAGCGGAGCCGGGGACTAGGGTGGAGAGTGGGGGGTGCTGCATGCAGTGAGGATCCTGGACTGGCAAGGGTGATTGCCACGTGTAGTGCAGATCCCAGAGTGGGTGCCCTTGTGTGATGGATGTGGCAAGGTGAGGGAGAGGAGTCTGTGGGCCCAGTCCGGTCTGTAGACCAGCCCCATGCCACTCATCCAGCTTACAGGGTCAGATGAGTTGATGCCCCTGCTCTATAACATGAAATGCTTTAAAGAATAGTTAGTCTCATTTGAAGCTGAGCTGCTTTTAAAGTATGGACTTCATTGAGAGCAAATTCAATCTTAAAGTGGTATTTTGGAGCCACAAAACTAATCTTATTAAACAGAACAACTTCAAGTTTAATATCTGATAACATTTCTAAAGAATATTTAATATAAAAAAGCAACTCCAGTCTTTCTTATAAAGCCAGGCACTGTGGAAATCTCTAAAACCTAACCAAACTAATCATGTAAATCAGGGCTGTCCAACAGGCAGCTCCAGGGCTGCATGCATCCCTCAAGGGGTTAATTTGTGGCCCCGGGGACTGACACCCAGCCCTTGCCTTCCCCTACCCCTCCATTACTTCAGCTGCAGGAACAGCGAGAGTCTCTAGGTTCCCTCTCCTGTTTTCACTTTCTGTTTCCACCCCAGGGAGCAGTGCCCTGCAGACCACAGCCTGGGGCTCCTGCATGATGTGCAATAGGGGAACCTGTGATTGAGAGCTAAGTGTGAGGTTCAGGCCCTGACAGCGTGGCCCTAGGGAACACCAGCTTGCACTGGTGCAACTTATGCAGCATGCCACCTCCACTACTGTGACCTGGGAGGTATGTGACCCCCAGCTGCTTAGAAGTTGGGCACCCCTGACAGATTATATGCTGTTTTCTTTATCTCTTTCTCAGATCTCAAGGCTTTTGAGAGAAGACTTACTGAATATATTGCATGTTTGCAACCAACTACGGGACGTTGGAGAAGTAAGTTAAAAATATTAAATAAGCTGGATCAACTCATAAGTACATCTGTTGACTTTTGAATATCTATATCCTTGTGGGTTAATTTCAGGTTAATAAAATACCTGTATCGTGTGTGTGGGCCTAAGGTAAACCTTCTAACTAAACATGCACAAGGTACCAGGAAATACCAAAAGTAAAATAATGAGTTAATGTTATTTGTACAATAGTATTACAGCATTTGCCCACCTTTGGAACCAATGTATAGGGGCCAGAAATACCTTGTGCTCTTGATAGTACAAGAAGTGTATTGGTTTGTTTAACAGTTGATATAGGAAAGAGCAACAATACTGAAAGCTATACTAGCATAACTAACTTATGGCCAGTTCAGTAAAGGGGGACTGAATGAGAGTGCAATTTTCCTGCCCACTTAAGTGCCTTCAGTCAGACAGCCTGTGAAATGTTTTTCTGTTTAGGATGGGATCAAGTCATCCCTATAAAGACCTGAGAGAGCTTTGCTTGGCAGCTGACAGGCCCTCAATGTTAAGTTGTAATGTTTGGAGTGTGGGCCCCATGGCATGAAAATCATAAGATTATATGATGTCTGGGTGGTCAGTGGCAGTAACACCAGGATTCCTCAAAGTCCTCAGAATTCGGTTTGCTAAGAGAATCATTACTTTCCCTGGTGTGGGCCAGGTACTGAAGGTTGGCATGTCATGAACGCAGATCCATTGCCAGCTGGAAGATAGGCTTGCCCTAGACCCTGAAGCAGGGACATTGAAGGAAATGTGTTTGTCCTCCCTGCTCTAACACTGAGGCATTGGGAAGTATGTCCAGTGGTGGACAGAACTGCTTTGGTTGTTCGTTTGTGTTTGTTTTGAAGTTTTCCCTCTGTTTCTATATCTGAGGAATTAAACTGCCTAGAAAACACATGGCATGGGAGCTAATGCTTCCTGAGGTCAGAGGATCCCCTCTGACTGAGGGCAGACTGAGGCAGTAGCTACCCTGAATCTGGAGAGAAATAGGTGGCAGTGTAATAGCAATGTTTTTGTTTGTTTGTTTTTAAGGGACTCCCTTTCCAGACAAGTTTACACTTTGAGGCTTTATGAGGAAGTCTATATGTTCTTGTGTAGGACCTCCTTTAACCATCATACCTTTTGAGAAGGAAAATGTTCTAGGTTCTCTGGTTTCTAAATTATCTTCTAGTGTGTCTTCTAAAGTTTTCCTTTCATCGGCAATATAAGCTCACTAATCTATAGCTTTTACTTTTTTAATGTATAGTCACTTTCCAGCTATTGGAAACCTCTCGCAAACCAGTTTAAATATTGTTAAATATAGACTAAAGTTTTTCTGATCTAATGTGAACTCTCAAAAAGGAGGGGAAAATATTGGAACCAAGTACTGAGTGAATTTATCATTCAAACGTGCATAAAAAGGCTTTGTTTCTGAGAGGTAGAGCTTTTAGTGTCTCCATTTGTGAAAATGGAAGAAGAAAAATGTACTTATCTAGCCAGAGATCTGTGGCATCCTGGGGGAGCCTTAAAATTCTTTCATGGATGCCACATGGTGTTAGCACTGTTAGGTGTGCAAACATGATCCAGAAAATAAACCCAAGATTTTAATGAGGAATTCATAGTGTCAACAGGATTCTGACCTCTTGTGGTCTTTCTGAGTTCTTTGCCACAGACGAATTACTCCATTTGTTTTTTTGATTATGGAAAAAAAAATACTAAAGAGTAGGAGGTGGCATTTCCAAAGGGATGCCTTCAGAACCACTGATCTAAACCTTTTGCATCCTCCTCAAATGGTCCATTTGGTGGATGTAAGTTGAAACAGAGTGTGCTGTTGGTACTGCGGCATGAAAAAGTACTGAGTCTGTTTTGCAGACAATAGAGTTTGATTGTTGAGCTTATACCTGGTTCACAGTTTCAGATAGCATATAAGAAGTCAGTAACACAAGATTCACAGAACCTAAGAGTGCATCTGCATGCATGCTTTAATGTGCTTTAGCCTATTTTAATGCACATTAAAGTGTATTAAAAAAAAAAAAAAAGCTGTGTGCTTTTGCTAATGTGCCTTTTTCTAGTACCTTTCCATGGAGGTACTAAATTGAATGCACAACAAAAGTGCATTAATGATCATGTAGAGGTGCCCAAAGAGGGTTTGAAAAGCTATTGCCAGCAGACTTTCTTTTGTTAATCTTTGTTCCTGTACTTCCTACAAGCTTGTTTTGGTAATAACAGCATATTGATGGAAATATCACAATAACAAATTTTAACTGTAAAGCTTAACTTGTTGGCTCTAGTTCTGTAATGCATGCCTCAGCTTACAGGACTGGGGCCTTGGTGCAGCTGGCCATTTACAGTAGTCCAAAGTAGCATATGGGTGTATTACCTGTGCAGCATATTGCATGGAAAGTTACCCAGTTACCCTTTTCCTTATTTTTTTTTTTTTCCATCTTATGAGCACATCTACATGAGATTTACTGTGCAGTAGACTAGTTAGCTGCCCAGTAAACATCTCAATGTCTGCACATTCATCCCTATTAGCCTGGAGTAAACTAATTTACTCCCCAGCATGATGAGGATACTACTTGTAAGTACTAGTACTTGTAAAGTACTATCCTGCTGCAAATTAAAAAACTCTGCAGCAATGCATGTGTAGATGCTAGAGGGGCTGGTTGGGGCATGAAGATGCTTCAATGCAGGGGCTGCCTGCTGACTAGCCCCCCACACTGAAGCACCCTCATGCCCCAGCCAGCCCCTCCGCAGCATGTTGAGTCAGGGGGGAACAGCCCCAAGCTGGCAGGCTGAACCTCAGGTTCCCCTGCCAGCTGGGGCTTCGCCCCAGCTCAACATCCTGTGGTCCAGACCTGCACACCCAGTAGCAGTAAGCTTCAGAGCCTATTGCTTTGCATTAATAGGCACATGGAAACTGTGGGTGCATCTACAAGTTTACTTAGAAACTTCCTATTTCTTTGTCCGGACAACAGGATGCCCTTAGAGGCTCCAATGCTTTCTGGATCTATTTTTGTTCTGTCCAGGAAGTTTTACTAGGATATTTAAAGGACTATCTTGTTTTAGACTTTTTTTCTGTCTTCCACGTCGACCTCACAAATAGAAAGGTGGAACTTCAGATGGGGAAACAAACATGCAGATGTACCTCTTTATGCAGAGAGATCTAGCTCACTTTTTTTTTTGGATGCTCTTGAACATCAAGAGCCAGGAGAGAGAACAGTACAATTGTCAACTTGTAATGAGAGGTTGGATACCTTTGAATTAACATGAATCAGATCAGGTACTATTTATGACTTTTTTACTTTTCCCGTTAGTGATCCTTATATTCGTATCAGTCTGTACTGCAACTGGTGCTTGGAACTGGTTAATAGATCCTGAAACCCAGAAGGTAAGTGATATCAATCTGATAAAGCTTTTTGGGATTCCTTGGCTTTGCAATACAAGTATATAATCTGGATAATAAACTAAGTGTGTGTAGTTGTGGATTTTGTCTTCAAGAATGAAAAGTTAATGGAAAGGTTGGCTTCTTCCCTAAGTTAGAGTATCACAGGAAGAGGGTCATGTAGGTTTTGTGTAGAGGCAACGCTTGCTGAGACTTTGCAAGAATGTCTGGTGCATTTTGCAGCTGTGCTGAATCTGGGGTTCTTTTCCTCTAGAAGAATAATTTTATACTTTGTGACAGTAAAGCATGGCGTACTGAAGTCAGTTTCCATGGGACTGATCCAGAATCAAGGAAACAAAAGCAGAGTACAGTGATAGGTTAATGGTTCCTAACTTAACTGTTTCTTTATGTGGCTATAGTGTACAAAACTGGCTCTTGTACCTGCACCTGTTCTAGCCCAAACTTCTTAATTTTTGGCAGAAGGATAATTAAAATGGCCACAATATATATTTGTTTAAATACATTGGTTACCTTAAAATGTTCACATTAAACAAATAAAGCTACCTGTCTGGTGGGGGGTGAGGGTAGGGGGTGTAGTTCTTGGGTTTTTTTCCCCTCCCCTAGTCTGTATTGGTGAAGTACCTGAGCCTTGGCATGGTGATTTTTGCTACACCAACTTCTGTAGTTTGTTTTGAAATGATCAGACTTGTGTCTGAACTTTACATCTCTGACGTGTCTAGAGGGATAGTTATTGAGCAGATTAACTTTATTCATAGGGAGAATATGTATGTTTTTGAGTAAATGCAAGAACTTTGCATTACCCCTGTCTTGATGCAAGTGTGGTGAAGGGTTTATTTGTTTTATTTATTTTATTTAAACATTTCTACATTCCAGCAGTAAAACAAAAGTAGAGCAGTTGCATTCTGTTGAACAATGGAGGGGTGGGGGAGTGAGAAGTGATCAATCGGCTACTTTTTTGTTAAGTAATATGGAGGACTCTAATATTTAGATCCATTTTCTGTTTTTAAGCTAAACTATTATAATGAACAATTTAGTTTTGAACCCAAAACTTTAAAAAAGATAATCTACAGGTATGGTAGCACTTTCTTAAACCTTTTTTCTTTTTCCCTTCAAGATTGTTTGATTTCTTTCTTAGGTATCTTTTTTCACATCATTGTGGAATCATCCTTTCTTCACAATCAGCTGTATTACTCTAATAGGCCTATTCTTTGCTGGAATACACAAAAGAGTGGTGGCACCATCAATGTATCCTTTGATAGCATTTGTCAGGTGAAAGGTGATTGTTTTAATGGTAATTGCAGCCACACTAAATCTGTCTAATTTTTAAACTTTTCTCCAAAAATTAGCACTTTCCTTTGACATGATCCATACAGCATAGCAGCCCGATGTCGAACTGTATTGGCAGAGTACAATATGTCTTGTGATGATGTAAGTGACTTGAATTTTACTTGCTACACATGCAAACCTTGAAGGTGCAAATAGCTCTGTCTCTGGAAGGGCTTGATAATCTATTTACATTTTACAAATAAATGCATAAATATACTTAACTCTTCTTCCCCATTTAAGTATAGGGGTAAGAATAACTTGCATAATGACTTTGCATTGGGGCTGTATTAAACTTCAGGATTTTGCTTGCATCTGTTCTTCTGTTTTGCAGACTGGAAAACTAATTTTGAAACCTAGGCCTCATGTTCAATAACCACAATCTTCCTTCAAGTCTATTCACTGCCGTGAACACCAGAAACAACCTTTTCTCAAGGTAGTGTGGCAGCAAAAAGCCAAATGGGACTGTTGGCAGTTGTCTAGGAGTAAAAGTCTTATTTAAAAGTGACAGCAAACTGTGCAATATTACTTTCTGGCATATTTATTCAAATTCTCTTTTGAGTCATGTCACCAGTGCTTTTGCTACTTTTGATTACCTCTTTTTTCAGTATTAGTGTCACTTTTGTATTTCTGCTACAGCAAAACAGCATACAGTTGAAGTATGTTAACTGGTTTCTAAGTTAAACTTGGAAATCAAACCTCATTTGTTTTATGTCTTTGCAAACTACTGTAAATAGCAAATCGATGCCAATGTTAAGCAAAGAGTAATACCTGTATAGATTCTTGTTCTTGTAAGCCAGTATTGAAAGCAACACTTGCCATTCCCACAGCTTTTTATTAAAACACTTATTAATTGATCTTTTTTTCCCATTCCTGATCACAGTCCTTTTGGAATTGGAACACAAAAAGATGTTAAAAATGAGACAGTCTGCTGGAAAAATTGGCCTTATGTTTAAGAATATTGAAAATATGTCAAAATATTACTTTTATCAAACTACATATAGTACGTCAGCCACTTGCATTGTGGTTTTATTATACTTCATTCAGTTTCATCCGAGTTGCAGTATAACTTGTTTTAATACGATTTTAGCATTTTAAAACTGTCTTAAATATACTTTTGACTGTAAGAATTATGTACAGTGTCTGAATTCCATAATACCCCTGTTTTAAGAGCAGATTTTATGCTGTGGTAGTCTGTCCATGAAATTAGTATTGCAAATGTTTAACTTAAGATCCAAATCGTTTGGTAAAGGAAACTATGTAAACAGTGCCACAAGTCAACTTACAAAACTTATTTTCAAGAAGTGTTTAAAAAAGAAAAAAGTTCAGTGTGGCTATTATGTATGTACGTAATAGCTACAATAATCATAACAGTTTAATTTTAAGTGTGTAAGGTGCCTTTTTACCTGTTTCAAATTCTCTTTTAATTGAATATGAGACTTTAAGAAGACAAAGCTTTTGCAGTTACAGGAACCCCTCATACAAACAAAGCTGCCTCTTAAGGAGCATGGTTTGACTAGTGTAAACTCACTCAGATGTGGCATTAACATTTTTGCTCATAAATTCTTTTCTTCAGAAGTTTCGTACTTCTGTAACTCCCTTATTTTTTTTAACTGCTGTAAATTTTGTAGTTACATATGTGCATAAAAATAAATGCTTTATATATAAATAGTATGTCAACTGTTTTTGTATTGTAAATGAATTAATTTGCAAATATAGAAAATTACAAAAGTACTTTGGCTATAAACCATTGAAAACTCCAGTGTACAAAGTGTTACGTTTTTTGTACTTCTGTGAAGTGTCACTTAAAATCCTGGGTGCTGAAGTCACCAAGATAAGAGCAGCATGGAAAGCAGTAATGGTATCCACTTTTCTTCATCGGTTTGGTTTTGGACCCCATTTGACTTTGTTCTTGGGATTATGGGTAGAAATCCTTTATGGGTCACCCCAAGCCACAATCCTCTGCACTGGGAGACTCCTGAGGAAGCCTGGCATGGCACTGCCTGACCCCAAGATAGGTTTTTGAATACCAGCCAGCCTACTGGCAGGCCCTAGGCTTGCACACTGGCCTACTGGCACTTGGCCTGGCCTACTGGCAGGCCCCAGGCTTGTGTTTGGACAGAGATTACAGGGTAAATTGCTTCTTGGGTCACCCCAAAATGCTCATCACTGCCACTGGGAGACTCTTGTGAGGAAGTCTGGGTAGGGCAGTGCCTGACCTAAATCCTGGTTTTTGCATGCCAGCTTGCCTACTGACAGGTCCCCAGACCTGTGTACATTGCTATGTACATTGAATAAGGAGCTGTATTTGGGGTGGGATTGTGGGTGAAAATCTATTTTGGGTCACCCTGAAATGCATCTCCAGCTCTGGGGGACACTTGTGAATGGGTCTGAGCAGGGTAGTGCCTGACCTAAAGCCTGGTTTTCATGTGCCAGCCTGCCAACTGACAGCCCCCCTGGACCTGTGCGCTATGTATGTTCCTATGAATAAGGAGCTAATTTTGAGCTGGGGTTATGGGGCAAAATCCTTTTTGAATTGCTCCAAAACATAGCTTTCCACCATCAGGGGATTCTAAAGAAGCCTGGGCTTGACCCAATGCTTGGTTTTTGCATGCTAGCCTGACACTTGACGCCCGCCCCTCAAGGCCTTCATCCTAAATACATTGCATTGAATAAGGATCTTGTTTTGCCTTGTAATCCCAGTCCAAAATCCCTTCTGGGTTACTCCAAACCACACACCTCCCTGACCAGGGGACTTTCCTGAATAAGTCTGGGCAGGATGTTGCCCATCCCAAAGCTTGGTTTTTGCATGTCAGCCAGCTAACAGCCCCGCAGGCTTGTGTACTATGTGAATGGCACCAAATACAGGGCTGAGAGAGAGCTGGGATTTCCAAACAATCCTTTTTGGGTCGGCTCTCCACCACAGCAGGGTGGGGAATCTCTTGAAGAATGTTTTTTAGGCTTCATTTGATCCTCAGCTTTTTCCACCAGAGATTTCTATGGATGACATTAAATAAGTTGGCAGTATAAGAGTTATGTAACCATGCTAATATTAAGTAAATTGAAATAAAACTATATGCATATCTAGCTCTATATCAAATTATTGAACCATGCCTTCTTAAATGCCAGTTGCTGGCTTTTCAGAGTTGGTAATACCTTACTCCCTTTCCCCCCAAATTCCTTTCTTGTATCTCTATTTAGGTCTTTTATATTTAAGTAGACAGAATGTTGCTAGTTAAAATGTGCAACCGGTCCTGATTAATTCAACAGCAAACATCAGACATATTTGCAAATGTATCAGAATTTGTTAAAACCAAGGTTTTCTCATTGTAGGTACAAAGTAGTTGGGGTAACATACAGTACTAGTAACTATTTTGTATGTTTTCTCAAACTTGGCAAGACTGAGAGCTGGTGTTACTATGATGGAATTTTAGAATTAAAAAAGGTAGGATGTGGAGATAAACCAGGAACTAAAGAACAGTTTCCCAAAGGTCTGGGGAAGGAAAATGTACCAAGCCGTGTTGTTATTGAACAAATGTCTCAGAAAGGATAAGGATATCAGCAAGGGCACACACAGATAATTAAACACATACCAAAGCCTCACTCTTGGGCAATTAAGAACTGTACTGATGCTAATGCAGGTCAGGTCAGATTCACCTGCTACCATAATTTACAGTAGACGGAAGTACCTCTGTTATCACCAGGTGCTGAGCAGCAGTTATATAACCTGGCAACTTCTAAGGTGCCAATGGCTTTGTGCAGAAGAGCACCTTGGAGGAGGGGATGGGGGTAGGGGGAGGGGGATATTAGTCTTACCCTTGGCAGAGGAAATGCTGCCAAAAAGTTGTGGAACTGAAGTACACTCCATAATAGGGTAGAGTGGGCTCTTTAATCCTAGTCAGCAACTAGTCTAGGAGTGGAGCCTTAATAGATGGTCAAATGGATGATCTCCTTTGCTGCAGCAGCTCCTGTGGCCAAGCTGGTTCTAAATATATTGATACCTGCCTTTCCTTTGAATTAAACCAGCAAGGCTGAGAGGGGGACACTGGCATGTGAGTAGCTCAGTGTCTGTGCCCCCATCCCCTGATCCACAACCCACCACTGGCCCCCATTTACCTGCACCCCACCACGTGATTCCCAACTCATGCTGCTGCCTGATCCCCATCACACTGTGCTGGCCACCCTTGCTGCTGCCCAATCCCCAGCATCTGCTGCCTCCTGATTGCAATGCATGTTGCTGCCTGATTGCATATGGATGCTGCTGCTCCAACCTGTGACCTAGGCTGCTTTTCAGTCCCCCTATGTGTTCTGTTGCCCAGTTCCCCAAACTGCATGCTGCTTCCTCATTCCCTGCCCAATCCTGAGCTCATGTTGATGTCTGATCCCCACCCACACTGCTGCCCCATTCCCCAACTGATCCCCATGGGGTGACACTTGCAATGATGTCTCATGCAAGCTGTTGGTTGCCTCATCACCCACATGATCCCTGACCTATGCAACTGCCTGATCCTGGTCCTAGCTGGAGGCAGAGGGCTGATACTCAGATCCAAGATGAGGCATGTTTTTCCCCATGTTGAATGAAGGAAAAAATAACTTACCTTGGATTTGAGGAAATAAAAGTTAAAAAGTTTAGAAAAATCAGTGTGGGTTTATATAAAAACCATATGTTTCCATGACAAGAAATGAAGGAAAGAATATTTTAATGTGGTATTTATAACAGGCACAAAATAGAAAAAAATAAATCTAAATGACTAACTGCACATTCATAGTGAAAAGATATGACAAGTGCTTATCCAAAAATACTCATATTAGCCTATATTTCTGTTTGAGAAGACTGTTACATGATTAATAAGAAAAAACAGAAAAATCATGGTTTTGATTTTTAACCTGCCTGGTTTAAACCTAAACCAAGAAGTCAAATTATGCAATGATATCTCAAGTCATTCAAGCTGGTTCCGTGCTTATAGTGATATGCATTCAAAAAAATTCTTATTTCTATATATTTGTATCTTTGATTATGTTCTGCATGTTTGACTAAGGTTACGTTCCATAGTTAGTTATTTATTCATATGGAATACAGCAACCAAATGACAGAACAACGTATAAACAACCTATAAATAACAGCAAGGGATAAGCCTATAGTGACGGTTTTAGATTTGATGTCCATTGCAAGGCATTTTCAGTAGCCTGGTACAGGTCTTCAGTGCAGCCATTAAAATGATATCTGCATGCCCTCATTAGTATGCAGAGGCTACTCTGGTTTGAAGGGCTACTTGAGCCTTTTTTCACTGTTTGTAGTCTTTGGTTATACTGTTTGACGTTAAAGCGCACAATTGTAGAAGGCAGGTGAGAGGCAGGTTAAAAGGCAGATGAGATGTTGTCTACCAAGCCTCCTGTGCCTGCCTCCACTCTATTGTGTGTTCCCGCGCCGCCTTCTCCCGGGCAGTTGATCTTGCCTGCCACAGACTCATGTTCGGGCCCCAGAGGGCACCTCGGCTGTCTTCAGGGTGACCCCCTAACTCGTCTGCCACGACTTTGAATGGTTCATCAGTGGAGGGGGTCCCCCTTGAGAGTGCCTCCCGGGCTGTCATGCATCTCGGCGGGAGTTCACGGGGCTCCAACCTCCCCTACACCCCAACCATGTGCCACCCTCAGAGATGGGCCTCTGAGTCTATTTGCGGCTGGCCCCACTGGAGTCTTTCCTGTCCCCGGCGTTGCCTCTTGATGACGAACACCCAGGGTCCTGGTCAAACTCTGGTGAGGGTCTGGGAGCCCTCAGCATTTGGGCTTGTCTTCTCTGATGCCCTTAGAGATTGCTGGCAATAGGCCCAGTGCATTCTGGTGTGGTTCCTTTCTTTCCCCTTTCCCGGGGACCGAGCCCTCCCCCTCGTCTGGTACTATGGACTGTGTTGATCCACTTTCTTTCAGGGAACCAAGTTAGACGCGCCTCGAAAGGGGAACCACTGCCAATACCTCGATCCGATACCCCTTTTCCCAAAACACCCGACATGAAGCAAAGGAACAAGGCCACTACCGTGACTACTAGTGAAATGTAACCTAAAGGAAAGAAGGGAGGGGAACGCCTAAGGAAACGGAGCACCCTCAGTAGGATCACCGTACACCCTAAATCCCCTAATGCCCTCAGGCTAGGGCACCCTCGGGGTCAGTACCCGTGCCTTCACCCCAGCTGGGGTCGGCGCTCGCCTGTTCGAAGCGGTGGCCCCGTTGCCTCTGATTGGGGCTCTCACGCCAGCTTCCTCGACCCTACTGGGCTACTCTGGCTTGGGGTTCCCCGCTGCTGCCGCCATCACTACCGCAGCCAGCATCCCTGCCAGTTTTCCTGCCGGCGTCTTCAATCCCCGCCGGTCCCCGGCTCAGGGATCCTCTGCCACTCCCACTGTTTCCGCTGTCGCAGCAGCCACTGCTGCTGCCTTTGTCGGCCTCTCTGCCAGCGTCATCGGGCCCTGCCAGTCTTCTCCGGCTTGGGGATCCTTTGCTGCTCCCGCTGCTTCCTCCACCGCAGCAGCTGCTGCTGCTGCCTTTGCCAGCCTCTCTGCCAGTGTCTTTGATCCCTGTAGATCTTCTCCGGCTCGGGGATCCTCTGCAGCCCTTGCTGCTTCCGCCGCCGCTGCCTCTGCTGCCACTGTCGGCTGCCGGCCGCAGCGGCTGGATGCCTTCTGCCCAGTGGTTCCCCGCTGGTTCTCTGGTCCTCGGTGTCCTTCCCGCGCTTTCGTGGCTCCCTTTCATCTCTGCTGGGTGGCGTCTCCTCATGACGTCACCCGGCCCCAGCTGTATATGGGCGCGGCTTACAAACTGCGCAGGCGGTTTCTCGCCACATGTTTCCTTGTTCCTCCCAGCTCCTGAAACAGGTAAGTTGTTTTTTTCCTCTTTTTCTTTGGTTAGGGGTTTGCCTCTGGGCAAGGCTTCCCCCTTTTCCGGTTCTGTGCCCCTGGCACACCCCCACCCCCCCCAAGATGTCTTGGGGCGCTTTGTTGTCCCGTCTCTGGGCCATACCTGGTGGGCTGGTGATCCCCTTGGTTTGGTTTTCTGGGTCACTGGTCTGGGCTTCTCTTCCACACCTGGATAGAAAATCCGCCACTGCGTTAGCTTTTCCTGGTCGGTGTACTATGTGGAATTTGTATAGTTGAAGAGCTAACGCCCATCGTGTAATCCGGGCGTTGTCTGTCTTAGCCGTGCCCAGCCACCTTAGGGGGGTGTGGTCTGTCACCAATTTAAACTCTCTACCCATCAGGTAATACCTGAAATGGCCCACCACCCACCAGATTACCAGGCATTCGCGTTCTATCGTGTACCTCGTCTCTGCTGGTAGTAGCTTGCGGCTGGCATAAGCAACTGGTCTCTCGTTCCCCTCTTCCTTCTGAGTGAGAATGGCTCACACTGCCGTCTCTGAAGCATTGGTCTGTAAGATAAATGGTTTCAGGAAGTCAGGTGTGTGTATTATGACATCCTCATGTAGAGCCCATTTTAGCATCTCAAAATTCCGGGACATCTCTTCCATCCATTTTATAGGTCTGGTCTTTTGTCCTTTCAGAGCCTCCGATAGGGGTGCTGCCAGTTCTGAAAAATGGGGCACAAATTGTCGATAATAATTGATTAACCCTAGGAATGACCTGAGTTGGCGGCAATTTTGGGGGGTGGAAAAGTTACGGATAGTTTCCACCTTGTATGCCAAGGGTCTAATAGTGCCCCTCCCAACCAAGAATCCCAAATATTTGGTCTCCTTTTGGGCAAGGGCGCGCTTTCGTGGGTTTGCCGTTAGCCTGGAGCACCTTAATTTAGAGAGGATGGCCCTGAGGGCTCTCCTATGCTGGGTCTAAGTCTGTGAGAACACAATGATGTCATCTATGTACGCCGCCGCATATTTGGCATGCGGTGCTAAGATCCGGTCCATTAAGCACTGAAACATCGTGGCTGTGCCATGTAGCCTGAACGGCATCCTCACAACTTTGTATGGTCCCCACAGGGTCCCGAACGCAGTTTTTGGCCGATCTTCTCTGGCTACAGGGGTCTGCCAGTATCCCTTCATGAGGTCTAGGGTTGATATACATTGGGTGTTCCTGATGCACTCCACTAGTTCTGCCACGTGGGGCATGTGGAACGTGTCAAAGATTGTCATGGCATTCAGCCGCCTGTAATCGATGCATAGCCTCAACAACCCATCCGGTTTGTGTACCGGGACCAGGGGGCTCCTCCAGGGGCTCCTTGAAGGACGTACGACCCCGTGTTCCAACATCGAGTCAATCTCCTTATGGACGGTTTCTAAAAGGTGGTGGGGAATGGGTCGCCATCTTTCTCTCGCTATTGCCCCGGGTGGGGTATTTATAGCGTAGAAGGTGTCCCAAACCCACCCGGGTTCTTTGCAAAACACATCCCGGAACTCTTTCACCAGGGCTAGTGCTTCCTGCCTCTGATAAGGGGACAGCTCTCCCCCTACCCTAACTGGGGTCTTGACTTTAGAGGGGTCGGATCCTCTACTTATCGCCCGAGGTCCAAGGTCTTCGTTATCAGTATCTGTAAAGGCAACCCACCCCTCAGGCTCTCACCACTTTCGGAGGAGATTTACATGGTAAATCTGTCTTTCTTGAAAGTGACCGGGCCGGTGTACCTCACAGTCTACTGGCCCAACTCCCTGGATTATCTCGAATGGCCCCTGCCATTGAGTTGGGAGCTTGCTCGTGGAAGTGGGAAGGAGTACCAGCACCTTCTGCCCTGGCTCAAACATCCTTTCTTTGGCGTGGCTGTCATATTTCTCCTTCTGGCGGGCCTGGGCTTCGCGCATATTCTCGCATGCTAGGTCACGGGCCATCCTTACTCTCCGTTGGAACTCCTGTTAGTATGTGGTCAGCTCCCGGGCATGTCCTACATCCCACTCCCATTCCTCTCTTAGGACTTGTAGGAGGCTCCTTGGCCAATGTCCTAATACCAGTTCAAATGGGGAGTACTTTGTAGTGTCTTGAGGGGTGTCCCAGAGGGTGAATAGTACCAGTGGAAGGAGAAGATCCCATTTCCGGGGGTCCCCTTGTATGCAGTGCTGTAATATCCGCTTTATTGTTCCGTTTAGGCATTCCACTAGGCCGTTGGTCTGGGGGTGGTAGATCGAGGTCCGGAGATGTTTTATCCGTAGCGTTCGACATACTACCCTCAGGACCCCAGACATAAAATTCCGCCCCTGGTCGGTCAGTATTTCTCATGGTATCCCCATCCTAGCTATCCACTTTATCTGTTCTTCAGTGATGCATGGGGTGGTCACAGCTCACAGTGGGATGTCCTCTGGATACCAGGTAGCATAATCCACGAAGACCAATATGGACTGATGGCCAGCGCTACTGCGGGGAAGCGGCCCCACGACGTCCAAGGCTATCAGGGAGAAAGGGACATCTATGACAGGCATGGGCTGGAGGGGGGCCCATGCAGGGCGCTCAGCCTTCATTTTCTGACACTCGGGGCACTCTGCACATTAATGGGCCACCTCCTCCCCCATCCCGGGCCAAAAAAAACATCTAGCCACCCTTGCAAGGATTTTGTCACGCTCTAGATGCCCTCCTGCAGGGCTAGCATGTGCCAACAGCCAGATGATTTGACGGAACCGGGCAGGCACAACTAGCTGCATGCCCTCAGCCCCGTCCTGCCCATCCCCTTGCACACAGTAAAGAAGTTGGTTCCTTACCTCAAAGCGTGGAGCCTCGTCAGGCAGCGGGACTGGGACGTCCCTGGTGTTGCGGATCTGCTCCCGAAGCATCTTGAATTCCAGGTCTTCCTCTTGTGCTTCCCGGAACTGCAGGCTGCTGGCAAAATTGTCAAGGTCTAAGTCTTCTGCCTCGTCCGCTGATTCTTTGTTTTCCGCTACTTCACCTAACCACCCCTTGCGGTTCCGGATCTTCCTGCATGCCACTTCTGCGTCCCGTATCCTATCCAGGACGTTGTACAGCAGTGCTCAGTCCCAGCCCAGTAGCATTTCGCACACCAGGTGGGGCACTATCCCTACCAGAAGTTCTCCTTGGTGCTCCATCACACGAAGGTGTATCCATTGCCGCTCAATCTGCTTAGCTTCCCCGTGGAGGCAGGCCACTTTCGCTGGGATGGCCTTCCGCCTGCCCTGCGGCTGCACCAAGTCAGCCCTCACCAAAGACTGGGCGCAACCCGAGTCCAGAGTAGCTTGTATGGGGCGTCCCTCTACCCAGGCTTTGATGACAGGGCAGCTCCAGATCGCACCCTCCTCTCCAACCGCGTAGCTACAGTCCATTGGGTCACTGGACTCGGGGTCTCTCCGTCTCTCCATCTGTACCCTCAGCCTGTCAGCGGGGAGCCAACGCTCAGTGGGCTGACTAGGGTATTCCCTTGAAAAATGGCCGTTCCGCCCACACTGAAAGCATACGGTGTCCTTCGTTGCCTCTCGGTTGGGCCTACATTCGGGCTCTTTCAGTGCTACCGCAAGGGGCCCCGGGTTCCTCCTCTCCTGGGGGTAGCTGACCTCTGAGGCAGCGAAGGTCTCTGCCAACTTCAGGGCCACCTTACAGGTACATGGGGAGTGCTGGCGCACCCAGCGCTGCGTCCGTTCCTCTAGGTCGTTTTGAAACTGCTTGAGGAGGATTTGGTCTGCCAGGGCCTCTCTATTGTGCCCCACTGGGCTTACCCATTTGTCCAGGAGATTCAGCAGCAGTTGTAATAGCACTCTCAGCCGCCTCTCATCGGGCCCTTTCTTTGCTTGGAACAGCTGGCGATAATGTTCTGGGTCGATCTCCAATCTGTATAGCATGGCCGCCTTCACACGTTCGTAGTCTCTAGTGTCATCTCTCGCAAGGGCCCGGTAGGCAGCCTGGGCCTTGCCTACTACCAGCGCTCCCAGTTGGCTGGCCCAATACCCTTTGTCGAGTCCAGTCATGAGGGCGTGGTGTTCAAATGCCTCGATGTAAGCCTTCGGGTCGTCGTCCCTGGTCATCTTGAGCATTTTGAAAGATGCCAGGCTGTGCCTGAGCCAGTCCTGCTGGCGGTCCATCATCTGTTGCTGCGAGACTAGGATCTGGGTGAGGACCTGCAGGTCCTGTCCGAGGATATTTGCAGGGGCCATAAGCTGGTTGCTTATTGGCACAGGCTGCCAAGTTGGGGTTCTCTATGTTCCCGGCCAATGCACCACTTTGTGCCCGCCTCCGCTCTATCGTGTGTTCCCGTGCCGCCTTCACTCGGGCAGTTAATCTTGCCTGCCAGGGACTCGCATTCGGGCCGCAGAGGGCACCTTGGCTGTCTTCAGGGTGACCCCCTAACTCGCCTGCCATGACTTTGAATGGTTCATCAGTGGAGGGGGTCCCCCTTGAGAGTGCCTCCCGGGCTGTCATGCGTCTCAGCAGGAGTTCACGGGGCTCCAGCCTTCCCTAAACCCCAACCATGTGCCAACCTTAGATACAGGCCTCTGAGTCTATTTGCGGCTGGCCCCACTGGAGTCTTTCCTGTCCCTGGCGTTGCCTCTAGATGACGAACACCCAGGGTCCTGGTCAAACTCCGGTGAGGGTCTGGGAACCCTCGGCTTTTGGGCTCGTCTTCTATGATGCCCTTAGAGACCACTGGCGGTAGGCCCAGTGTGCTTTGGCGTGGTTCCTTTCTTTCCCCTTTCCTGGGGACCGAGCCCCGCCTCGTCTGGTACTTTGGACTCTGTTGATCCACCTTCTTCCAGGGAACCGAGATAGATGCGCCCCGAAAGGGGAACCACTGCCAATACCTAGATCCTATACCCCTTTTCCCGAAACACCTATCGTGAAGCAAAGGAACAAGGCCACCACCATGACTACTAGTGAAATGTGACCTAAAGGAAAGAAGGGAGGGGAACACCTAAGGAAATGGAGCACCCTCAGTAGGATCACCGTACACCTTTACTCCCCTAACGCCCTCAGGCTAGCGCACCCTTGGGGTCAGTACCTGTGCCTTCACCCCAGCTGGGGTTTCATAGTTTCATAGTAGCTAGGGTCAGGAGGGACCTGAACAGATCAT